CCTACCCCTCCTCGCACCCTCCCTCCTAACCAGATACCCTACCCCCAGTCTGCTCCTGCTCCCGCCTCCTGGAGTGCCCATGTGGTGCTGGGTACCTCAAGCCCTGGCCCACGCTGGGCAGAGGATACAGCCAGGTGAAACACTGAAAGTTTATTCATTTTTAATTCTTTTTTTATATGCATTTATATTATTGGGCTGCAAAAAACAGCACTTTAAAAAAAAAACGGGTTCCAACTAAAGTAAAAAGTTTGGGAAACCCTGGTCTAGCCAGTTTTCTATCCATCTTACAGTCCATTTATCCAATCCATATTCCCATAACTTGCTGACAAGAATATTGTGGGTGACAATATCAAGAGCTTTGCTAAAGCTGGCACAGGGGGCTTTGGGAGGACCAGAAACAACTTATTTAAATATTCATCATTTGTTTAATCAATATGAAAATATGCAAATGAATGCTACAGGTCCTCCAAAAGCTCGTGAATGGATTTACCGGTCCCTGTGTCAAAAAGTTTGGGAACCCCTGGTCTAGTAAAGACTAACAATATGTAGATGGTATCATGAGCTTTCGTGGGCACTATTTGTCGTTGTTTTAAGTTTTTCCTGTTACAGACTAACTCCACTACCCCTCTGAAGTTCTTTAGTTCCCGGAGAGCAATCATAAAATGGGGTCCCACAGGGATCCGTTCTGGGTCTGCTTCTGTTCACAGTCTTCTTCTGTCATTTAAATAACAACAGATAGTATATTACAGTTTATGGAGGATACCAAGCTGGGAGGAGTTGCAAGTGCTTTGGAAGATCAGATTAAAATTGAAAATGATCTGGAAAAACTGGAGACATGGTCTGAAGTAAACAGGATGAAAATCAAAAAGGACAAATGCAAAGTACTCTACTTAGGAAGGAATAATCAGTTGCATGCATGCAAAATGTGGAATGACTACCAAAATGAAGAAATATTGCATTCGGAGTCATAGTGGATCACAAGCTAAATATGAATGAGCAGTGTAACACTATTACAAGAAAAGCAAACATTCTCAGATGTATTATCTGAAGAGTGTTATAAGCAAGCAACAAAAGTAGTAATTCTTCCACTCTGCTCTGGCCTCTACTGGGGTATTGTGTCCAATTTTGAGCGTCATATTTCAGGAAAAATGAGGGCAAAGTGGAGAAAGTCCAGAGAAGAGAAACAGAAATGATTAAAGATCTAGAAAACATGACCTATAAGGGAAGGTTGGAAAAAAAACTGGCTTTATTTAGACTGGAGAAGACTATGAGGATACAGGTCAACAATTTTTAAGTACACTAGAGGGCTACATCCCCTGCTCACTACACTTGCCAACCCCCCACAGAGTAGGTGACTGAGAGGGTGCAGGAGCAGACTCCCCACCCTCCCTGGTGCTAGGGGGGGCGGGAGGACTCCTGGCGCCTGCTCTCCCCCGCACTGGAGTACTGGGGAGGGAGGGAAGAGGCCGGGGGCTGAGAGAGGAGGGGCTGTGGGACACAGAGTGATGTGACCGAAAGAGAAAAAACAAGGTAAAAAACTGTTCTCTGATCTCTCACTTAGGACAAGAAGCAATGGGCTAAAAATTTCAGCAGAGGAGGTTTCGGCTGGACATGAGGAAAAAAAACTTAACTATTAGGGTATCATTAAGCACTGAAATAATTACCTAAGGAGGCTGTAGAATATTCATTATTGGAGATTTTTAAGAGCAGGTTAGACAGACACCTGTCAAGGCTGGTCAGATAATACAAGTCCTTAGAAACTGGACTAGAAGATCTGTTGAGGTCCCTTGCATTCCTATGAGTTTATGATTCCTTCCACTCAAACAGAATTGGAGTAGTAGGAAAGAGACGAGTTAGTCTGTATATTAAATGGTTGGAGTGCCACAAAGTGCTTTTTAAAGACCTGGTGGATCACTGGGAGTGGGTTGAAATTGCTAGTTCTCCCCTCCCCACTCTACCCCCTGGCTCATCATTCCAGCTGCATTGGTTGTAGGTACTTGAGTTCTTTTAAAATTTGTATTTGATACAGTAATTTAATTTCAAATTTTTATGCTTATAAGTTAAAGCAGTTCAGCTATTTTAGTCACTACTGAGCACTGTGCAGCAGACAGAATGGATAGATAACATTTTATTTTATGTTTGTTGCAGAAAGCATTAGGGACAGTGGCTCAACAGCAGCATCCTCCCTTTCCTAACCCAGCCATCATATGCAAAACTGGACTGATTTAAACATTTATCAACTGGCAAGTAAAAGATTCAGTCACTGATTATAATTGCCTGCTTCAACTTCAAGGATCCCCCCCCCCACACACGATCCCCGCATTCCACATAGATACTGTGCACAAAGTCTCTTTAATGTGTACACAATGGTATGAATTGAAAGAGGAAATAGCTATCTGTGTGTATACTCTTACTGTGGCTTAAGCACTGAACTCCAGCTCAAGTGCCACAACTCAGCATGCACCCCCTTTCATGTAGGCAAGCCC